CCTCTCATGTGAACTTAATATATTCATCCACAAAGTTGATGTGATCAGTGAAATGTTGGACTTCCTGGGCCATGTGATGTGAGTATCAGTCACCTGGAGGCAGGACTCAAAAGCCTGAATTTTGCCTGAAACTCTCAGACTGAAGAAGTCTCTTGGAAGAGAGACGAAATGTTTCATTAAAGAAGAACCCGTCCAGAAGACCTATACAATTTTTTTCCTTTGATTTTTTACCTGGATTACTGAGATGCATCAGGACGCTATGTTTATATATTTTTAACAATTATACAGATTTTTTATGTGAAATCAAACCAGTGTAATCCTTCAGAGCTGAAATAGGTGGAACTTTTCTGTAATCATTTATCATCTTTAAAATGGTGAGACAGGGGTTGTGAGGCAATTTATAAATATTTGTAAAATTTAATTTTGAACGACTTTTGTTACTCACGTTGTTTCCAACTGTGTGGCTCTCTGGTAGACACAAACAGCGGTATGGTGTCACACTGGTGTCACAGTGGTCTGCATGGCCGTGACACTCACATCTATTGAGGTACATAAAGAAAAACAAGAAAGGAGCAAGCATGAGACATACGAAACACAATGAGAAGACTTGATATTGTAAGTGTTTCGGTTATTTAAGAAATAAACAAATAACAAAAGGGACAGCAAACGTGAAAAAAGCTCTCCCACAAAGTTTGAAATTCCTTACTGATGTACTGAGTTATTACTGAGCTGCTGTTAACAACGTAGCTGTAAAACCAAGTTGGACTAAGTGAATTAGGCAGAGAATTTAGCTGTAACCACCTCAACATCAAGGAGCACAAATAAGTCTAACAACAAGCAGTTCCAGACACAAGATATTCTTCTTGTGTTACAAATTAAAAATAAGTTGAAAACCAAAATTTAGCACCAGTCAGATAGTCATTTTAATGTATGTACTTAAATCTGTGTAATATTATAATGTAATTTTGTGAAGAACATACATAGAAAATTATTCCTGGCAAAAAAATACAGAGAAGAATCTTGTTATTTCTTCCTCTTCCCCTTGTATTTACATGCTTTATGAAAAAAAAGACAGGAAATGGAGAAAGAATAAAGGAGAATGAACACGGATGGATGAAGATCGCACAGATGAGGCTTCAGCAGCATTAAATTTCTGTTTCTCCTACTTCACTATAACAAGCTACTAATTAACAGCTTAGAAAGAGGGGGAAAGAGAGAAAGAGATGATTGCCTCCTGCATAATCCCATAATTACCTCACTCATAAAAGACAGTCACTATGTCAGTCACAGTGTCAGTCTAATGAAAAGATGTGTTCACAATTACTCACAGAAAGCTCTGCTGAAACTCAGCAGTCTGTGTGAAATTGTTTTACTGAACTATGTTCCCTCAATTTGCACAAATCTGTAATGAAGATACTCAAGTCTCTTTCAACAAATCAGGTCGTTTACAGTCTGACAACAGGATGGCTGTTAGAAAATACAAAGTGTAATAATGGGTGATAATTTCTCAATAATAGCATGTGAATTTGTTTTTCCAGAATAAGACAGGACACGTGCGGTCAGTTTGAAGTCATCAACACCACAAGTAGCTCATTTATCAATGTTTGAGATGTTTGCTTCTGTTCTTTAAAATAACTGCAACTCAGACTCTAACAGCTTTCAAAAAGAGACAATAGATCACTGGATGAATTAAAGTTTTTACCTGCCACTGATGGTGATCTCTTTTACAGCAAAGTATCGGTGTTGCTGATTAACCCCGTTTGTGTTTGTGTGGTACTGTCCTCTCATTTGTATTCGGACTTGGGCAGCTTGTACCATCTCTTGCAAGGCTGGAGTTTTGTAGAAGTCATTAAATCCCGGCCTCAGAACAGGATGTGTGGTCAGCAGACTGAAGGTGATGTTGCCTTCTGAAAACGGCTCATCGCTGAAAGACAGAAAAAAATTAAAATATTTAATCAAATGAAATAAAAGGAAAAAGATCATCTGATTTCCTCCAGTTGTGTCTGCTCCTATTCTTTTGTTTTTTAAGTCAAAACAGATTAGCAATATCACTTTCCATCAGTTCAGTTATTCCATTTAAATGCTTTTTAATATTGTCCATTTAAAACAAGAACAAGCACCGCTTTACTGAGAACTAATAATGTAAACTAAAACATAAGAAAAAACTATTTTTGAAACAGGCCAACAGCACCAAACATACTTGCATTAAGCAAATTTAAACACTGATGTAATCATCAAGCCTAAAGTGTTTTATTGTGTTATTAATGTGAGGTAAATTTGTTCTTATGCCAGGCTTAACATGAACTGTGCCAGGAAAGGTTGTATATGATATAATTTGTCAGTCAAGTGAAAAATGAACAATGACTGCATAATCTGTGATCTATTCATACCTGTTCTAGCTAGTGCCAACCGAGCACTTGATGCACGCAGCCCTGCCAAGAATTAGTGTGTGAAATTGTGGGTTTAATGTGTTTTTCAAGTCCAGTTCTGCACCTAGTGCCAAATCCATGCCTGATGTTAATCATGAGCCAAAGTACTGCTGTAGGGGTTTAGTTTCAATAACATCGTTACTATGAGGGCGTCACTGACTATGTATGTATATTTGTGTCACTTTGTGTTTTAATTAAAGATCTAAATATAATTTTATTTGACTGTTTCTGACTTGCTTGTATTGCTTGCATGTTATGTAGTTATTAGCTTTTTATACACCAATAAAGTTATTTTATTTTGCCAACAGTTTTCTGTATTTCCTCCGCGTGGAAGCCACCACCACCAACGTACTCAATTTATCTTAATGCTTTTTATAAATATTTTGGGGTATTATGTATTTTCCTGGCACATCGTTCAATTCTATACCTCAATCAAGTAACTATGTTACCTTCAGTTGTAAGCTACATCAAAGCAAAATTAGACTTCTCATCATAGTCTATCTAACCTCTATCGGTCTCTGTCTCTTTAAAGTGCCGGTGACATCCATTTTTTGTAATAAACTTGAATGCATTTTTGGGAAGCGAACATTTGCAACATATTGCAAAACAAATTTCATGTCGCTGAGATGAACAGTTGTTGAGATATTTGTGTGTGAAGTAACAGGAAGTGATGTCAAAGGGGAATGCCTGCATGTAAACAGAGCGTTGTTACAACAGCTAACAACAGAGACCGTGGAGAAGAATCTAATGTTTCTTTACACTGTTTTGAGTTTCTATCAAAGAGAGATGAAGAAGAGTTAAAGTTTAAATAATACTGTTTTCATAAACAAAGACCAGGGAGTTTATTTTATTGAAGAGTTCCCCTTTGATGTCACTTCCTGTTTCACTTTGGCTGAGCCAAATCCAAAATAAAATAGGCCAGTTATGAGATAAAATGTGTAAAATTGTGTGTATTATGGCAATTTTCTTAAGAATAAAGATGTTTTCTTTGACTTTTTGTATTTGAAGAATAGGCATGTCACAGGCACTTTAAGAACCTTGCTGTATACTCACTTCAGCACCTCTTCGCAACAATGCTTCGGGGGAGGGGTGTTCTGTGGGGCAGGAGCTTGGCTGGGGACTTAGCTCCGGGGAGGAGCTATGTACAAATAGGCGGTGATTTGTACCAGCATGCATTTAGGCAGCTCTACATGGCTACCACAGGAGATTTAGAGATTTCTCAAACATGCATGATTGAGTCAAAGCAACAGTGGGTGTGTTTTTGATGAGGCAATGACATTATACCATGCTCAAAAAGGTTGGTTTTGCATAACAGATATTTAAATAGTTCAGAAAGTTGAAAGTGGAATTGGAATAATCTACAAACTTCTCTCATAAAAAAAAGTCATGAAAAAACAAGCCATTTTTAAAATCACTATCTTTGTGTTACATATCTGGAAATTATTTATTAAACAATATGTCTATAGAGTCAAACCAACCTGGGCAATTGCAGACAGTTCACAGAGTCTGGTCTTGGTAATGGTCCATTGTTCTGCATGTCAAACACACTGCAGTTTCTGGCCATATACTGCCAATCCAACCAGAACTGTTCCATGTTCATGGTGCTTTCAGGCTCTGAGAAGACTAGCTTCCTCCTTTGGATCAAAACAGACTCAGGCAAGAGACCCGCGAACTGAACTATAACATAGAATACCTGAAGGAAGAATTCATACAAGTTAGTGAAAAATAAATAAATAAAAATAGAAAGATATTGAACCTATTTTCCTATGTTCATATGAACTTTTGTGTGTGTGCGTACGTGGGTGCGTGCGTGCGTGTGTGTGTGTGTACTTTAAGTGCTATCTAACTCTCCAGTGGGCTGGGATTTCAGGAAACGCAGCAGGGAGTGCATTAAGCCACCAAGACTGCACAAACCTACTCACATACAAACACAAATACCTCAAACTTCAGAAAGTGTCTTTTATCTGGGGACTTGAGTTGAGTGACCGTACAGGACAGCTCCCAAAATCCTGCCTACCCCCACATATTGTACAGACATCAGAAAGCAAAGAAATGAGAGACTCAACACCAATCATGACAGCAATCAAATCCAGCAGTTTCTTTCACTATCCTCCTCCTCCTCTCCCCTTATATCTGTTGTATTGAAGTGCTTAAAAAGATCTACTCAATGCATAAACATATTTAAAGAGATGCATATAGAGGTGTAAATATTTGGCATTTTTAAGGTATGCTGAAGAATAAGACAAAACTATTTCATGGGGTGGTTCTATGGATTTTCTGTTTATCCATTCTAATTTTTTAACAAAAGCATACTAAACATGCATTTAACAGACTGCATAACCTAAATTTTGGGAGACTATAAAAAAAGTCCAAACTTGTAAAAATTTATAAACACAATGTCATATAAGGTCATATCCAAGGACTTTCACTCAGGGTTCGTAACAGCTGTCAGGTTAGGACAAGATTGTTTTTGTTGCTGTAAGTGCAAAGGGAACTGATTTGTTGATCAATTCAACACTTTAAAGGGATCCCCGATTAGTTATAACATTAGACTTTATTTGATAAACATATATTTTAACTGTAAAATAAAGACTGTAAAAATACTGTAGGATGTTTAGTTTAGTAAATTTTTAAAAATTATTTTAGCACGGACGGAGCCATTTTATTTACACGCAAAGCATTCTGGATAAATGATGACGTGGATAGGTCCTCGGTGTGAGCGAGTTATATCCACCCTGAAGGTTAATCTTGGACTATATCTGATGATCGACTCTTTTAAATGAAACCAGAGCGTTGACAGAGAGGAGAAGATAGAAATGACTCAGCCTGGAACTGAAAATATGGATGGAGGACAACAGAGCTGCTTCATGGAAGAAGAACCTCAGCTTAGCCTGTTAGCCTTTGCGCTAGCGCTGACGCTATATTGCCTTATATGTATTAGCTCGGTGCTAGCGCGACAAACAAGCTAAACTGTGGTCCTCCATCCTTCAGTTGCAGACTGAGTCATTTTTGTGTTCCCCTCTCTGTCATGTGGATGGAGGACCACAGTGACGATTATTTGTCGAGCTAGCAACGAGCTAACACATATAAGGCAATATAGCGTCAGCGCTAGCGCAAAGGCTAACAGGCTAAGCTGAGGTTCTTCTTCCATGAAGCAGCTCTGTTGTCCTCCATCCATATTTTCAGTTGCAGGTTTGCATTCCCCTCTCTGTCATGTGGAT